CCTTTTTTGGTTTGATTTTTTAGTCTAAATATAATGGTTTGCTAATTTGTTTATTATTTACTTTATTTATTTGGGTTTGTTGTTTTTTTTATTATTATTATTATATTTCTTTTATTCTAACAGGTGGGATTTGGTAATTTGTTTGGATTAATTCATTTTGCTTATTTTATTGTTATTTTGTTTATTTGTTTATTTATTTGTTTTTATTTTATTTTTTCTGTTTTCAATTTTTAAGTAACGTAGTAAAAATTTGTTTTCATGTCTGCATTTTGAGATGAGCTCAGATCTTTTATTTAATAATTTATTTTGGTCTAGGAAAGTAATGATAGCCATTTTTTCCTCCAAGCAAAGTTTGCAAGTTTTTGATTGGTTTTTATATTTACACACGCTCTATGTCTGATATTGAGCACTTTATCCAATAAATATAGCACACCTTAAGACTATATTTCTTCATATATATATATATATATATATATATATATAAAATATAGTGCGGTTTCTCATTGCCTTCTTCAGAATTTTGAATTCAGAGTAGTCCTTTTCTTTGACTGGTTTGAGAGTCCAGTCTATCCTACTATTTAACCCAGAACTGGGGAGAGAAGAGCTGGGTATATGCCCTTCCCCATAACATTTGTATAAAAGTAAACATATTAATAGATGAGGCAAGAATTTGAATTCTATTTGCTGATTCCACTTAACACAATTTTTTTTATAAGCCACATAATATTATTACTTATTTAGAAATCACCTGAATTCTTTTGTTTTTATAATTTTAGTACTGCTCAGTTATTGCTTATGCTGTTTCCACTGAGACTAAAGTATTGAACTCACAATTACTATGTTGCTAAATTCATAAACCAATTGTGCAATAACTGAACAGTACTGAAAAAAGAACAAAATATCCCAAGACATGGACAGTAGAATGAGAACATTCTATCCCTGTAGATAAAATAAAGGGTTCAATTCAAAATTACCTAAAGATGATCCAGATCCTCAACAGGTGAAGAAGGCCGAACGGCACAACAGCTAAGATAAAAATGAAAACAATAGTCCAAATGTAAATAATGATAACATCTCATCCCAGAAATTCAAATAAAGATATTTTTTCTTGTGCTTATATTTCTGTTACTGTTACAGATCAACAAAATAACAACAACACAATGATAACATTTATTTTTATTACTTAAAATTCGGCCATGATATAAAGTGGTGTATAAGAGAACTAATAAAAATTATCCTTTACCTTATTCTAAATGTTTGTAAGTGATGCTTTTTTAAACTTTCTGCTTGAAGGGATTTGACATTAATATTATAAAAATGAAAATAATAGTATTTGACTATAGAATTATTAGATTTATATCTTTTCTTTGAGAAAGATCTCAGATAAAAAATTCAATCCAAAATATATCCATAATGAAACAGGAGTAGAGAAAAATTCCTCTAAATATAAGAGAATGGTCACATATTGAATTTTATACACTCACACTACAGTGTTGTGCTTAACCCTTTTTCAGGGAACAAGGTATTTCATGTTATAGCAAAGACATTGTTTCTTAATGTTGCTAGTAGTTAAAAGCATTAATAATAAATTTAAATGTTCTATTTTTTCATTTAAAGGCATATAAAAATTTCTCCTCAAAATGGTATTTCTGCTTTATTTAAAAAGTTTCGAAGGATTTTGAAAACTGAATTTTATAATTCTCTTATTTTAATGTATATCAAAAAAAATTTCAGCTGGGAAGCAACTCGCAGGACGAATTATTTCCCCTGATTCACCAACCTTTTTTTTCTGCCTCTGATTGGGTCTATAAAAATTCTCATGCAAATATTCACCTTTATTTATTTGCTTCTTTCTTTCTTTGCTTCCTGCTATTAAACAAAATAAAAAATGACGCATGTAATTTTTTTGACTGTCAATTCGAATTTCTGAGAGAAATAAATTTATACTCATACAAATAATTTTAATCTGTTTTGAAAAACTTGACTTTGATTTTGAAAGAAACTATATTTACCAACATTATTATTAAGGAAACAACATTTTTCTGACTTTATAATTAGCTTCAATCCAAGTTTTGACCTTGGGTTTGCTAAGAAAACTTTAGAAATCTTAATAAATTAAGATTTGGAAAAACAGACAAATTAGACAGACTCAATTGATGGTGCACCTATTAATATAACATATTAATCAGTTTCAGACAAAATAAATCTCTTTTTTATTGAAAATTATTAATGAAAAACGAGGTCCCTATGAAGTGGATAGAAATTTAAAATAAAATTTAATTAACATGCAATTTAGAGAGTAACTTAAAAATTACATAACATTTAGAGAACCTAACATTTAGAGAACCTATATCAAATTATTAATCTGTAAAGAGCTTTTAAAACTGTATAGTTTAAGTTAACAAAAAAAAATATACCTTTCAAATAAAACATTTTAAAATTGAGCCTAGCCTTTTTCTATTAAATATTTACATACATTTTGTGTCTACTGCTATATCCATGTGCCAGGTATAAATAAAGGACAACATATAAAGTAGTCATTTAGCAGGATAGTCCAGTCTGAGTCATTAAGAAATCCTTCAGTCTTTAGTCTATTCCCTGTCATATGAAAACTGTTTTCATAAGAAGAAACAGAACTTTAAAAAAAAAATGGAAAATAATATTTGCAAATAACTGCAATAATTTCTGGAATATAAAAAATTTTGGATTTACACTTAATCTTTCTTCTCTTCCTTTGTTTTTCTTTGTGGACATGTTGAATATTTTTACAAGGCCAAAGTTTCACACCTCCAACCTCTTACCAGGCATAAACAGGTACTATTTGTACACATGCATACTATCTTGTTACCAGGAAAGAAAAGAGTTATGTTAAAATCTTTTGTATGATCTAATTGTTAAATGTTTATATTATTATGCTTAGTGAAAAAATAGAAAATTTCATGTCTGGGTAGAAAGTTAAGTTCTATTCTGTGGACAATATTTGTTAACCCACATTGAGATTGAACTTACATTCTCTTGGTTATAAAAAAACCCCCAAAAAACTAATGCTTTGTTAGATTAACCTGTCTTTTCTGCTGGTTCAGCCCAAGTAGCTCAATTTAAGCTCATTGTTCTTTTTTTCTAGATGTGGGTGGGCGAGAGTAGAGACTTTCAGTTGCCTGGTGAATTCTTGTCAGAGTAATTCAGGAGTGAACAGACTTTCTGCTGCCTGGATAATATCTGTAGATATGTAGAACTTTGCCATAGTAGTGGACCAACTAAGTATATATGCTCAAACTATACATACAACTAAAATTAATATTATTTTAAAATATGTTGCACACTGAGTAACCATGAGAAAATACTGAAAAACATTTTTTCTTACTTGAGAAAAAATTCTGAGTAAAAAATCTAAAAAAAAGTGAAAGAAATCTATAGTGTTTGAAAAGTCATGATCAGTCAAAGATTGTCAACTTTTCAAATATTTCTCTTAAATATCAGTTTTGAAATATAGAATAAGTGAATTTGGCACTACAGAGGTGATACAGAAATTAACTATTTTAAATAATTATGTGCCTCAGAAAGACATCATGAACCACTTCATCTATTTTTTTTACTCATTATCAATGACAAATGATGCATTTCAAGCAAAACTATTTTCTCATGCTATAGTTTGTTTTAATGAATTTTTCAGTGAAAACGTGTTGTTTATAAAAAACAGGAGAAGCTCAAATTTTGAAGGTAAATAATATTGCTTCTTCCAGTCGTAACAAAATCTCTATCTACAAAAGGCAGGAGGTGCGTGTGTGTAACAAATGCATGGCCGCAATTTTCGACAGATTTGCACCAAAATTTTCATGCACATGCTCCAAGTTAGCACTTCCAAGACTGACTTTGCATTTCCCAACTCCCATCGATAGTGGAAATAATTGATTTTTTCATGCTTCTACAGCAGTTTTCATATAGTTTGTGGCTATTTTCTACTGGCCAGAGTGAGAGCTAATAGCTGGCTGCCACGAATAGGCAGGAAGATTCTATTGGCCAGCGTGAGAGCCAACAGCTGACTGACACGAATGTTAACTAGCATGCTAGCATGCAAAAAAAAAATCGATAGCTGCATTCATCACAAGTGGAAAAAATTTAAATCTGCATGGCACTTTATTCTAATTGGCTCATTTGCTTGCTTAAACTCAATATTGTTTCTGATTCCGCAGAACTGGGTTGGGCGTGAAAAAGTATTTGTTAACATTCTTTTTTCATTCAGTTTTTCCAGTTACAAGTCCTTTTTTAAAGCTGATCGTTTTGCGTTCATTTTGTTTAGTTCTTTTTTCGTAACAGATTTAATGTTTAGTTTATAGCTTAGAAAAAATTTGCAGTGTGAGATAGGCAAGAAGCACGGCAAAGGGCAAAAATATTTTAAGTCAAGTGATAGTGATTGCTGTATGAGTCGTACGATTTTTGAATCAAGCACGGGCAATGCCGGGCCATGCTGCTAGTTTCAAATAAATGGTAACTGATTTCCACTTGTGTTTCTCTACAGAAAGACATAGAAAAGCAAATTTGTTTTTAGTAAGTCTGATTTAGGCTATTATATAATGCTCATGTTATTTATATATTAAAAATTAATGAATTGGAAAAGAAAAATCCAGAATTTAATTGTAGCAGATGAAGACCACTTATGTATATAATCTTGGATAGAATTAGTTGATCTAATTTTTTGACTTTTTTTTAACAAAAATTTGGTTGGTCTGTTGGTTGTTTTTGTTTAACAGCATATAAACACTTCTGTGGGTTATTTAATGCCAAAATCTAAATATGTTGTATGCAATTTTTTTTATTTTATTTTTGGAGATACAAGTCTTACTAATTAACCAATACCTGAAAGGAGAAGCGGTGGGTTCATAGCTTTCCTAATGGTACTTGTGCATAAGTAAATATAACAAACCCAACTGGAATTGGAACTCGATTCTCTGATTAACAATTTCAAGCCATTATCCATTACATCATCTGCACATCCAAGTTTACAGCACCTGGTATTCCTGAGTGGTCACCCATCTAGGTACTGACCAAGCTCAACATTGCTTAACCAGTGATCATAGGGGAACCGTTGTCTCAGCATAATGTGGCTGTAAGCCCACAAAAATTTGGTGTTAAGACATGGGAAATATTAGTATTATGAAAATCTCAAAGAACAGAACATTTTAAAGATAGAATCATCAGAGAACCGAAATTTGGAGGGATTAGTCCACATGACTTAAAAATAGAATAAATTAAAACTATATTTTGAAGTAAAATGATTAATATTTCATGTAGTGGAATTCAAAGTTTTTATTAAATGATAAAATATTACTTTCAGTTTTGCTATTTTTTAAAATAAAACAAATTTCTTTCATTGTTTCTATCAGTCTCTCTAGTATAATTATTTACCTGCTGCCCCACACAAGGCCGAGTTTAAAGTAAGGTATCCGAGCCTGTAGGCTCGGGCAAAAATTCCCTACCACGTAAAACAGAGTCAGTTTCCCCGAGATGAGACTCCGCCCCTCGTCTGGGGGATACCCTCTGACATAAGCCAGTCCAATATATGGTTGATAGGATCTAAGACAGCACTTTAAATGATGAAGCATAGTTGATGACCAAGGGGGACATAACTCCTCAATTAAGAAATATATTTGACGTATTAAGCAAACCATAGTTAATGAAACTTTTTTTATTATTAAGTTGAGCCTTTCCACTCAAGACAGTATAGTGAAAAGGGTGGTAGGGAAGGAAAAAGGTGTGACACCCCCAACCATCCATATCAGGAGGGCATCCAATGAAAGAGCAAAATAAAAATTTAGTTTATACTTATTTTGAATAAATTATTTATTTCATTTTTCATCTGTTTTTACATATTTAAAATGTTTTCTTTTGTCACATTTCTCAGCACTAGATCCACCCCCTACTTGAGTCTTAGGGGCATACAATCAAGGAGTTTGTCCCAGGCATCACCAAACCTGTGTCTCAAAATCTGATTATTCAGACTTTGATGGTTTTGAGACAATTTAAATTTATATTAATTTTTGTATATTTTCAATATACTATTATTATTAAAAACTTTTTTGTTCATATTTTACTCCTTTGAAATATATTTTGCAAAGTAATTTTAGTTAAATAAAAAGCTTTAGATACAAAAATATCATTGATTAGGCCAATTACCAATGACCCATGGATGATTATGTCTTCATGGTTGTTGATTCCTTGGATGGAGAGAATCTACTGTATTTAGACCCTTGAAACATAGTACTAGTGCTGCTTTATTCAGTGGTGGCTAATAGGGACATAATCCAACCAATTAAGGTGTATTCTTGAACTAATGAGCTTTGAAAGTCAACTTATATACCATCAAATATTGTATCAGTATTAAAAAAAAATAAAGAACTTTAATTTATCCTGCTACATGAGATTGTAGGTATTTTTATCAAAGTCAAAAATAAAGGTAGTTTTGTTACTAATGAAACTGCAAACACAGAAGAATGGTATGTGGCAATTTTTATGAAATGCTGGTAACAGAAAAAACAGAAAGACAAAGATATAAATTCTAAACAAAAAGTTACCCAGTCTTTCTGGGTCAAGAGAATGAATAAATGAACAAAACAACAAAGACATTTAAATGTAGCCCTTCATTATTCAGAAAAACAAATGAACATCATTTTTATGTCCTCCTCTTTTTTTTTTCTCCTCATTGTAAATGTGTGGTCTACATTTTTCCTTTTTTTTTTTTTTTTTACATAAAGGACTGATACAGAGTGTATAGAAATATCGGGTTTTTCTTTCTTTTTTTTTTTCATATTTTCTTTTGTTTTTCTTTTTCAATATTTAATTTTTCACTGTCAGAGCAGTATTTTCTTAAGATGGATGTCCCATCTCCAATATAAAAGAATAATTTTTTTTATTGTTCATTTTCTTTTCCTTATGTATGTTGATAAATATAATGGAGTTTGTTGCCTTAAGGTTTTAGGCAGCCATAAAAATTGAAATTTTAAAATTTTGTCCATTTTTTTTTTTTTGTCCAATTTGTAGGGAAAAAGTTAATGAAGATATTGTTTTTTTTTTTTGTTTTTTTTAATCTCATTTTCCCCCTTCTTTTTCTGTTTTGTTTTATAAAAGATGGTTTTAGGTTTTGTCAATGTTGGGCTTTTAAGTTTGTTCCAAGAATCTCAGATAGAAGGAAAGGAAGGATTGAACAGTGGTTTTTTTTTTTTTTTTTTTTTTTCCAGAGGGTCAAATAAACCCACATAAATATTTAAAAAAAAAAAAAAACAATAAAAATATTTTAACAGAAAAGAAAAAAATTCCAGTAAGATGAAGGAAATTCACTTGTGTTAAATTGTTGCCAAAACGTAATTCTGCTGAACAATTTTTTTATTGTTCTAATTTTTTTTTTAATTACTTGTGATCGTTGTTTTTTTTTGTATTTCTTATTTGTTGACTTGTCTTTCTTGAAAATGATGACAGGAAAAAATGTTTCACAGAAATTAAGATTGTATAGCTGATACAATATGAATATCTTTCTTTAATGTATTTGTTTTTATGCATTGTATTTTTCATGGTTACATCTTAAAACAATAATGATTACAAAAATTATAATAATTAGAATAACAACAGTAATAATAATACTGACTAAGTGTACATTTATGAAATCAACTTGACAGCATTTGAATAAACTCGTAAAGAAAACCTTTTCACCTGGTTTGACTTCCAACACTCAGACACCGGTATGATTCTTTTATCAAATATTAAAACAAATTAAAGCAATTATCTAATTATATTGGACAAGACCGTTCCAGAAAATGTTTTTAAAAATTTGTTTTAATAATACCATAAAATGAATACAATTTTCATTTCTTAGATATTTTTAATCTTAGCCATTTTGGTTAAAGAGGATTGTTTTTAAAAACAACTGTTTCTTTTGTACAAAAGAAACAGTTGTTTTTAAAAACAATCCTCCCAGCCATTTTAAGAACAGAATTTCTTGTGAGTGTTACAAATAGAAGAAATAAAAGGATATATTGAAAATCCTTCCAATTTTTCAGATAATAAAATTGGAAATAAACTAACTGAACATAACACATTTATAAAACTCATCTTTAAAGAAAATCCTTTATGTTTAGTTGAAAATTTTAAACAGTAAAAAGTAAAACACAAGTTGATTCTCATTTTAAAGATAGAATAGAAAAAATAGCTCAAAACGTGTATATATGTGTATGTTATATACACACACACACAAAGTATGGCAAGTAAGTAACAAGATCAAGATTGTAGATTACATAATATTGCAGCTTCACATGAATGACATTTTAGGATTGCACAACATCAGAATACAATGCCTAGTCTTTCTTCTGTGAACCTATTATTTTTCTTTTCTCAAGTGGGTTTCTAATGCTTATGAAGTGCACTCTGGAATATGATCAAATTGTTGACTAACCTGGGATGAAAATCTAACAGAGACCCTGGTAATTCTGGAAAAGTTGACAGGGAACAGGCAATGTCCCAGCAGCTCTTGAAGATTTTTCTACTTACCAAATTCATGAGCTGAAAAGTGTCCTCAAGAAAACATTGCCCCCCACCTTTTTTTTAAGTAAACAACATCAAACATGACCAGCATATTGTTATCTCAATAAAAGTTTTTTTGATAATATCATTCATTACTTTTTTGACAAACTTCTCACATAATATTAACATTTACTACATTTATAGATATAGACAGTGTGGACATAGGAAACAACACTGCATTCTGAATTTTTTGCATTAATTTTAACCTATCCAGAAAAAAAATTACCTGTGTTTAGTGCAATCAGTCACTGAAAATGCATGATTTTTCACCTCTTCAAAAAATGACCTGTGTAAAGTACAACCCACTATATTTTGCATAAAAACTGATCATAAAATCTCACAATATAATTGAGTATATATATTACTTCTTTTTTTGGTGGGGTGGTGGTTGCTATTCTCACACTATCTTCTGTCTCTCTCATATATATATATATTTATATATATATATATATATATATATTTCTTATTCCTTGAAATATTAAAACAATAACAAAAATAATGTTTCACCCCCACCCAAAAAAATGGTTAAGCATGACTATTTCCAGAAGAGTATGTTCTTAAAGCAAAACAGTCTTTGTAATTATGGTACTCAATATGAAAAGATAGAGCATTAATAGTAATAAGCAAAATTAAATGTTTGCTTATCTTATCCCTACTCAGAGTTTCACAAAGATTACATTCCCTTTACAGGCATTTTGGTCATAAGATCTTGTAAAATGTATATCACTGTAAACCTTACAATAAAGTCCACTGAAGTGTAGTGTATAAAGTAAAATAAAAGTTGATTCTCATTTTAAAGATAGAATAGAAAAAAAATAGCTCAAAACGTGTATATATGTGTGTTATATTTATATATTTATATATCGATCCGCAGTACATAAAAATTCCTATAAAAAAAACTACTACTAAGACATTACACTATATTATTGAACTATATACTTAGTTCATGACATAAAAACTGAATACACTTGTAAAATAGAATACGTGGATTTAACACATCACAAGAAATATTTAAATAAAATTCTCACTTGAAATTTTGAAAAACTTAGCGTTAAGTCTTTGCACGTTCGAGGATCTACACAACCGTGAATAATAGCAGATATTCAAAAAAACATCTTTCGGTCGACATACAAGTATTTCGTCTTCAAGTTTTTGATTTTATAAGGAAAAAAACACATGCCTGATGATGAATAGAGGACTATTCGTAAGTACTAGCATTTTAACATCAAATAAACTGAAAACTACAGACATCAAGTTTATCGACGAGGATCACTTCGCACTATGGATTAACAGTATTTTAATGCATATATTATGTTTCTAGCGATGGTTTTCGCCAATAATCGCATTAATACTTCTGATTGAGTCTATGTGTGATTATTTCTTTGTGTATATATATATATATATACATACATACAATCTCTATAAAACTGTGGGTACAGATAAAATAAGTTAACATTTCATTGTATTTATATATATATATATATATAGTAAACAGTGTGTTGACTCAGATAACTTAATTTTGTGATATTGAT